CATGACCCTGTGCGTGTTTTGAACGCTGAGGCACGAACCGCTCCTACCTGGGCAATGTTTCGGTTGGCACCAACAGTTTCGCCGCTGGGACATTGCATGTTCTTGGTTTGTTTGGGCGTGCTCGCTCTCTGAAAAACCTTGATTGGATGTAGCTAGTTTCATGCAATGCGCTGTCCTGTGGCTGCCTTGATTTTGAGTTCGGCATCTGGCCGCCAACAGTTCGGCGGCGGAAACAGGATCGATGTACTGTCATCCATTGCCATCTGCCGCGCTGACTGTCGACCATATTTGAGGATGTTCCTGCAGAGACGGGATTGGAATCCTTCAGCCGCCTGGCCACGGCTTTTAGTTTGTTAAGTCCTCGATTCCCAGGCCGGCCGCCTATTTGGAGTTGGGTTGCATCAGTCTCCTGCTGTCTTCCTCTGGATCTATCCTGCGTGCCATCGCCTGTGTGGATGCTTGATCTTGACTCCAAAGCGGTAACTACACTGCAACGGAACTCCGGAACCCGTCGGCAAGGCCACTTGGTAGTGTACACACGCTCTCCACTGGTGGAGCAGAGCACGCCGGAAGCTTTGCGCATCTCGGCAGCGCACGAGGCTTCCGAGTCTTCTCGAGGGGAAGTGAGGTCAGGGCTGGTGTTGTGTAAAGCTTCGGGCGCAAACTCTGCAGCGAGTCCCGAAATGCCCCAGGCATCATCGAAACTGTTGCCAGCGTCTCCACGGTTAGCTTCGTGGACCTGGACTTGGATACCGACGAACTTGGAGGCATTTGCTGGGTTGGTGTCGAAACTGTTCCCGCTGGCTGCTAGCTGCTAGCTTTCACTCGATCCGAGCAAGATGCAACCAACATTCACGGCCATCGTCGTTGTCACCAACGTCATCGTCGAAATCATTACAATCATCGTCGCCAGCCTGACGTGTCCTCATGCTCATCAGTCCCCAAAGATTTTCAACATCATCCTCCTCACCACCATATTCATCAGTACCATCATCGTTACCACCATGATCGTCGGGAGGACAGCTTTTAGTGATAATATCCGAAATCTTCTTCTGTATCTCCTCTGTTTTGATGGGCCAGCAGTTGGTGAAGGCCTGGATTGGTCTTTCTCGAATTCTGTGTAGACGTGCTTTGACATGCAATTGCTGCATGATCCAAATGTGAGCACCCCGCGGCTGCTGGAAACGGTAAGATGAATGCAGGTCGCTTGCTGTGGCAAGAACCATCCTCCACCGAGCGAGTCGAGACGCTCGATTGACACGTATTGAAAGCATTTGTTGCCCAAAGCAGCTGCAAGAGTGTTTTGCCGAGGGTTTCGCCTTTTACCGGCATCAGCTCTGCAAAGCAAGATGCGCTATGACAGTACAGCTTGTAAAAAAAACCTGCTGGCATTCTTCCTGTCGTTGTGTCGGATCTGAGCCCTCAGTCTGTGTGAAGAACTTGATGTCACAAAGAAGCTGCGGAGCACTTGTCGCGGTAAGCACATCTAGTGTGAGGGGACAGAAGCCTGTTTGCGCGAAAAATTGAAATGGGCTCCACTGAGGTTTTACGTGGTGTACCTTGCGCTGGACTCGGTCGGCACTGGCCGCTCCCTAGCTGCTGGCGGCTTGGCGTGGATCCAGGAACAGGACAACAATCTCTCCGACGACAGTACTCAAGACAATCAAGGCGATGAACTTGAGAGATAACAGCTATTTCTCAAGATTAGCCCAGTGGCAGCATTGCAGCAGCTCCAACAATCAGCCATCTCCGCAAGACTCCCATCAGCAAAGCCGATCAGAATGGTGACGGTGAGCCACGACACATCTTGGTCAACATTTCACCGACCGTCACTGTCACAAGCATCGCTGGCGTCCATGCCTCATATGTACCAAGCGGAATGCTAGAGAGGAAAGCACTTCTTCTCCAAAGGCGTTGCAGTCGGGTTGAAATCGTTCTGCTTCACGATCCCTTTGGACATACTCGTTTGGCGATACACAGATGCAGTACTTGCAGCGACTGCTTCCGCGGTCTTGTGGCATCCCCTCGTTCGTTCGCGGTGCCTCAGTCCAGGTGGAGAAGTGCCGGTCGGCACACAGCGGACTACGTTGCCGACGGACCCCGGGCAGCAAAACATCCGTTCCTGTCGGATCCCCGTCCGCGAGTTTTCCTTTTTCAATCTAGCTGACAAACCCACGGCGAGACAAGAGTCCATGCAGCACTTCTGCACGGAAGTCTCGCGAACATGCAGCTTCGGTGACCCTGCCGGCTGCAGCTTTATTCTATACTAGTGCGTAATGTACACAATGCTGATACCAGGCCTGGCCATTGTGGGGTTGGGGCAGGTTTCGCTCCTCATGTCTTGTTGCAATCCTCGTACTTTCGCCCGAGCGGCCCACTTGACGCTGGAAAGGGCACCGGGCTGACAAGGTGAACATCACCGCGCTTGACATCCTCTACGATACCCCTCGCCAAAACTTCAGCCACCTTGTAGTCTACACAAGGCCTGGCTGCCGAGCTGCAGATGAAGAGATTGGGGCGCCTCCGGTTGAAGGTAAAACCCATGTAACCCTTGGACTGTGCACGCGATCTTTCAGAGCTGGATCCGCGTTATCTTCTGTGTGTACGAGCCACTGCTGTAGATGGCAGTGGAAGGTCACACCGGACGTGGGGTAGTTGGAGTAATCCCGATAGCCTAGCGCTCCAACACAATGCATTCCACTCCGACCCCGGATGGGTCCAAATGCGGCGACCAAAAGGAGGCAGTCGTACTGGTGGATTAAGTTGTTCAGCCCGAAGGCGCCCGCTCCAAACGACTGGCACTTGTGGACGCGGGCAGCACGCTTTCCAATTCGCCAGAAAGAGGCAACCTCATCCGTAACCGGTATACAGTAGCATGATGACATCGGCGGGAGAGCTGCTTGTGATTTGATCGTTATATACGGCAGACCTCTGGGAAGGTGGAGAATCTGTTATACCTGCAGACTGTCTCTTCGTCGTGAGTTACAAAGAAATCAGAGAACCGAGGAGAAGTCGAACTCGTCGAGAATGGGTCCAACTAGCACCGATTATTTATTGAAATCTTACAGGGTGCAGAAGTGGAGGATACCCCCCCTCACCGCGCATTCAAGTGTAAGCCGATTTCTGAAGCTGCCATGCAAGGGCACATGGCCCGGATTTTGTGCAAAACAATGCAGTTGAAACTAATCCTAAGTATCAGGGCGACATATGAACCTCCGCAAGGATCCATTAAGTATTCCGTGGTTTCGAACTGTGTGGGCAATCCTTCGTCCCCATCGAGAGCAGCTAGCATTGCTGTTTTGGGAGCCCTTGCATGTGAGCGCTGTCGTGATACTGGCTGCGAAACCAAGATTGCGGTACTTGCTCATGCAAACGGCGAAGGGTGTGGGCTTAGCGAGATGGACGAAAGGCAACACATGCAACACAAATCTGCAGTGACCCCGCCATTGAGAGGTCTTCACTGGCCGAGCAGACAACTCCGGTTGCAACAGCACTTTCGGATACGTTTGCAACAGCTCGGGCCCCAGCTTGTCGTACCGACTGCAGCACACAGATGTTTACGAGATTCACCATCCTCATGTCTGGAATGTGCATAGATTGCCCTTTCAAACGCCATCGCTGCTCCGTTCATGCTGTGCACTATGATTATCCCTGCATAGTCCCAGCCGAGTCCCCTGCAATCTCAGGGAATGTTCGATTCTGATAGGTGTCCAACCTTACCTTCGCAGACTACGACTTGGATGCTGCGGATATCGGCGGGCCCCTGACATGGGATCCTCCGGGTGATGTCTCGGCTCCTCATCTGCAGATTCGGAGTTCCAGTGGCCTGTAGAAGCTGCGACGCAGGATGTCGGCTTTCGAGACGGGAGATCAAGCTCAGGAAGTGGTGACGTACATCGTGTATCTGGCCAGAGCAGTGCCTGAGACGTAAACAGGGGCGTGATTGAGATTTTGGACTTCGTCGCGGTGTTGTTTGGGGGCCTGGGTGTGCTGCGATCTTTGCCTTTGCAGGTTCAGCGAACCCGAGAAGCCTCCTCTGCGATGTTAACAGGCAGGTTCCCGAGGCGTCCACGACACGAGGCCCCAAAGTTCCCCAAGCCCCCGCCATCTCGGCCCTGAAACGTCAGCCTCGAAAGCTCGAGAATGCTTGCAGGGCCTACTATGACCTGCACAAAACCACCCAAAAACGACCGCGGCCGAAGGCAGCGCCTGGAGCCGCCTGTTCCAACGAGTCTTCCGAGACAACGGCGGAGATAGAAGAGGACACCACCGATCAGACGGGCTGTTGGGTTGAGGTTCGTTTCGATTTGAGTTTTGACGGCTCGGATTCGGCCGTTCAGGTTGGGTTGAGCCGGTCGTGTCTAGTGACAGTGTATACAAGGCTTCATGCATTTGTCTTCCGAGCTTCCGGCACCTTGCCATGAACACTACTCTGTGACCTCTTCAATGCATGTTGTGCGATTGAGAGCCTGGCTTTTCATTGGGGGTTGCGGTGTTCGGATGCAATAGGACGTCGGGATGGGTACTTGGTGCCTTACAGCGGTTGGGGCTTTCTTTTGCTGACCGTGTTTGGTCGAGGCCTGTCTTGTCGGTGCAGTCGTCAGGTGGTGGTTTAAGGATTGAAAGCTGTATTTAGGGGTTGAGCTTTAAGGGCGTGAGGGCTGGAGAGTTCATACCATGCCCTACAAAAGGGCCGTTTGTTCCCAGTGGCCGATGCACATTTCATATTATGGTTTAGGGTTCAATCAAAGACCAAGTGGTTAATTTTCTGGTGTCTAGCGATTGTGTCAGCATTAGTTCCCCAGGCGAACCGGCTCGATCTGCAAGACCGTAGGCGCTCCATTGGTTCTGGTACCAGTGCTAGTACTAGTGCTACTCTTACTACTCCTCCTTCTGCTACCCAATTCTAGTACGACGACGACGACGACGACGACTACTACTACTACTGCTGCTACCACCCCCACCCCCACCACGGCTTGTTTTTCGACGACGACGACTACTACTGCTACCCAGACTACCAGAATGCTACCACACCACTACCACTGTACCACTATCACTAGGGATTTGCAAGGCTTTCCAACCAGGTGCCTTTAACCCTCGTTAAGACAAGACAACAACTGACAAAACAAAGCGAGGACACACCTTGCACAGATTCAGCTGATGCCGAATCAAGACAAAATAAGCATCAACACCCAGAGTCTAAACGTGTGAAAACGCACCTCAACATCGTTTTCTGAAGCTTTTCCAACTTCGCAAGGCCTCAAAGGTCTAGACTCTAGACAGGACTGTAAACGATTTACAAAGATCTGAAAAGGCTTTGAAAGCTTTCGGAGTGTGTCCGACATTTTGAGGGTTTTCCTTCACGGTCGGTCTGAGGTTTTAGACCTCTTCCCTGTCTTTCCTTCATCGATGCAGCGTTTTCAAAGCTTTATTAGTTGCACTTGTGCCACATAAACGGTGGTGAGTACTTACTTGAGGTTTCCAAGAACAACAAAATGTTCTTCACGTCTTATCATGTTTTGTGAGAATCAATAAGTCAAACAGATTGTGTCGGGCCCGGTTGGACAAACATGTGCCACTGTAAGCCTCCTTCCCTGAGGTTTTAACCCCTGCGAGGCTTAAAAGCCTGTGGTTCTTACGTTGTGGCTTGAGTTATGGAGCTTGGGACTGTGAGGCGGGGCTGAGGCCGGTCAGGTTTGGGAGGGGGGTAGCCGGTTGGGGTTGGAGGCCAAGACACGAAGTCCCCGGCGCAAGAGAGAGCGAAAGCTCTCGAGGGTTTCAAAGCCCGTCATTTGAGAGCGGCGTAGAACCTTAGCGACACTAGACGGCGACTGCAACTACACAAGCACGAGCACAAGCGGAATTACGACGACGACTACTACTACTACTGCTCCTACTCCCACTCCTACCTCTAACAACCCTACCATGTACTCCTGCTCCTGCTACTGCTCTAGCGCTGTACTGCTCTATTCCTGCTGCTGCTCCTGCTGCTGCTCCTGCTGCTGCTCCTGCTCCCGCTCCTGCTCTTGCTCCTGCTCTTGCTCCTGCTGCCGCTCCTGCTCCCACTCCCGCTCCGGCTCCGGCTCCTGCTCCTGCTACTGCTACTGCTACTGGTACTGCTGCTACTGCAACTGCTGGTGCTGCTGGTGGTGCTGGTGGTGCCGCTACTGCTACTGCTACTACTACTAATGTTGACCTAGGATTAATAATCCCCCTACGATTAAAGGCGGCCTGCGGGCGGCTCCGGCCCCAATCTGTACTACTTTAAAGGCAGCACCCAAATAAGGATCGTATTTTGCAGAAAACCCCCCACGATTAAAGGCAACACCGTCTGGGGATCTAAAATTTCAAAAAGTGCTTCGAAGACTACTTTTAAAGGGGGCAAGACTACATTTAAAGGGCGTCTTGTCCTCTTTCAAGCGGTTCTTTCAAGGGCTACTGCTACTGCTACTGCTACTGCCACTGCTACTACTGCTAAGCCCCTTGGCTCTGCCAGGTAGAGAACGTGATGTGGGTCGAAACTCTGAGGCCCTGCATTGCTAACAGTCAATGCTCCTCTAGAAGACTCTGGGCTCTCAACCGCAACACGGCTGTAGGCTGCATGATGGCGACTGCACTCATTGCCCTTGGGCTCATAACTGTCAGTGTTGGTCCTACCCTAGACCGACCATCCCCGTCGGGTGACCTGCCTGATCACCGGTCTGACCCTCAGACAGTCAATCTGCATGCTCTGCCTGCACATGTTACTGTCAGAGTGAGCCGACAGACTCCATGTCCCTCGTTCTTGGACCGCAGCCTTGAGCAGGATCATTTTTGGGTAGACAGCGATCGACCATGTCGCCCAAGGAGGCCAAGGCTAAGGGACGCCGCGGCAGTGCCGCTAAGGTGGCTACCAGATCGCGAAGCGCCCGAGCAGCCAAAGCCGGGCCATGCCCGAAGTCGTCGAGCAGCTCACCGACGTCTCCACCTTCGCCGGACTCTGACTCGGGGGAGACCACACGAGCAATCGCGATGGCGAAGCACACCTCAGTGCCTGCTGGTCCACCGCCTCCGACCCCGGTCAACCATCCGAGTGGACGTGAGTCAGGACAGCGGCCTGCCGGCCCACCACCGCCGGTTCCTGCTTTCTCCCTGCCGGGAGCTCCTGCGGCTTTGCTGTCTCCTCCTGCAGCAGCACATGCATCGGCAGCAGTGGTCCCAGCTTCTCCAGCCTCTACTGGCCCACCAGGCCCCGTGCCGACGAAGGCTGCTGCCCCAGCACCTGCAGCCCCTGCTGGCCTACCAGGCCTTGTGCCGACGACAGCTACCATACCGACTGCAGTGTCTATGCCATCACGACCTGTGCTACCCTCTGCGGCGGCCCCGGCCAAGGCAAACCCTACGGTCACGGCTAAAGCCAATGCAACGGGACAGATCCCAGGATGGTCGATTACTATCAACATTCGACCTCTCCTGTAGCTCGATACTGCGATGCGTGTTGGAGAACCCTTTCTGCAGAGTGGGTGCTGACAAGAGCGCACAAGGCAGTCGCCAACCCTCTGCCGTCTCTTCCTGTAAGTTGACCTGTCAACTCGTGCCACGCAGCCCTCTGGGATGGATCAACAAAAGTTGTGCCGAGCATGCTGTTACATCAGACCTGATGCATTCAAAGCAGATATCCTTGCTTTCGTGGTGGACCATTACACGTGCTCTCTGCACCGCTCAGGCTGTTCCCATGGCGGACCATGACGGCATCGAGAAGGCTCCAGGTCAGCGACTTTCCTCACCTGAAATTGGAGCTTCCCTGCCTAGAGTTGCTCGCCACAGGTATCAGGTCTCCCGAGACGACCACTCCGGTGTTCTCCTTGTCCACCATCGGGCTTGGGCCTCAGCCTTGCTGCTGCATCTCGCGACCAGTCAATATGCGACTCTGCCGCGTCCTTGTGTGCACCTTGCAGCCCCACCATGTGGTAACCGTGTGTGCCTGCAGCTCTTTCCATACCAAGCATCACTGAAGATCCTGGAAGAACATGTGGTGCCTCAGCAGCTTGCCACTACTTCTGCCAGTCTTGCATTCCTTAGGGCTGTGAGACCTCTTGCAGATTGCTCGCAGGTAAATTCCCCACCTCAACTTCTTAACTCGCTTGGCCACCCTGTGCTAAAGTGCCCTACCTGTGCCTTTCGAGGGATCATGGAGTCAGCCTCTGAGCACAGCTGGCCAAACTGGCAGGCAGCACTTGTTCCGCTTACAGTCGGGACAGAAGTGGAGGTGACTGATGGCCACAGACAGCACCTTATAGGCCGCCGGGCGATTGTGCTCCCTACCTTGGAGTGTGATCACAACACCACCCGGAATGTGCGGATGATACAAGGACCTCGAGCTGAACAACGTCGTATCTATACGATCGATAGGGAACACCTTGTTCCCCGACTGGGGTCGGAGGCTACACAAGCTTCCATGTGTGATGGAATGGAGCCGAGTCTGAGGTGGAGATGTGCACCCCCACCATTAACCATCTTCAGCGCACGTTACCTTCTTGGCTACCAGGCCCTGGCGACCATGGTGCCCCCTGCGGCACCCAAACGGAGTCCAGCTGGCCACTATGTCCATCCCCCGCTGGAAGATGCTTCGCTTGAGGCACCCTGGGAAAAACACGCTGACCCAGCTAGCAATCGGCCATTCTACTACCACCCGGGGACAAAGCAGGTGACTTGGCGAAAACCACGGCCGGCTCTGGTCCTTCCGAGGGAAGAGGAGATTGGGCCCACCAAGCCCAGACGACAGGTCTGAGATACCTCAGCCGCACTCCTAGCCCACCTCCTTCCAAGCGGGTGAGAGTGCATCCCACCACTGATGCCCGGCAGAGAACTATGAGCTCTGAGGTCCAGTCGTCAGGCTCTACTGTAGCCAAAGGGATGCCAACCACAGAGAGGAAGCCCGCTCTGGACTTTGATCCTCAATCTTCTGGTGGCCCTTCCGAGTGGAACTTGGCCGATCATGCTTTACCTACTGCTCTGGGGAGCCAAAGCCAGGTCTCAGCTACCACAACCGCCCAGTGCCCCTGCCTGCACTTTGGACGTGGAAAGATTTCTCAAGAGCTTCTTCAGGACACGGCAGGGCCCAGACGGCACATCCCTTGCAACCTTACTTGGAGACCCGGCCCCGCAACCTGATGGTTGGTGGCGTGTCCCGTGGACTCCGCTGGGAACCTCGCACTGCGAGTTGCTGTGTCAGGGTGGTTGGCAACGTGGCTGGCACGGATGCAAGATGGAGGCACTCTACTCCATCATTTACCATGGACAGCTCCTGCCGAGCATCGATGAGTCGAAGGGTGACAGGTTTCTGGCAGGCTGTCCAGGGGTGTACTTGCACCGAGACAGCCTGCAACACAAGGTGGAGAACTACATGAGGTGGATACCACTATGTGGAGACGGTCTCTTTTGGGCTGCCAAGTGGGAGGTGGTGTATGCTCCCTCGGGGAGCACTAAGCATGGCAAGCGAACTGATCAGGTTATACAAAGTGCTGAATCGGTGGAGCTGGTAGCCCTCTGGCTCTCGGTGCGCTCCGAGAACATGATGCCTGACGGGACTGCTGTGCAGGCCAAATGGTCTCCTGAACGTGAGGCCAACCCACGCCTTACTCAGTCCAGGCGAAGAAGCAGTGCTCTGATACAGACCATGGACCTCACGGAACCGTCCGCCTCTTCCAGGCCTCTGCCCAGCTCCAGCCTGAGTTCTGACCCGGCGATCGACAACAAAGGCCGACTCAAGCCGACGCCTAAAACACGTGGTCGCTTGCCACACATCCCTTCTGAATTGGAGAAGGACCGGACACCAGCACAAGCGAAGCTCACCATACAATCGGGCAATCTGGTGCTGAAGTCGGCCACAGCAAATAGCTTGGAGGTCCCAATGTCTCGGAGCCACAAGACTTTGGCCACCACGACTGCTGCAACCCCTGGTGAGGCTACGACAGCTACGACAACCACTCCGGCTACCACTTCGGAAGTCTCGCCCCAACAGCCCCCGTCAGATCTACCTCGCCGAGGACCTAAACGGGCTCGACCTGACACTTCCCCTGCTACTCCGAAGCCACGGAAGATGCAGACTAGGCCCAAGCCGAGACGATCGATTTGGTTTGATGTCACAGACAATCCGGATGACCAACCACTTTCGTCCTCCATAGCTACAGCCAAAGGCCGAAGCACTGGTACGATCAAGGCCGCCAAGCTCCAAGATCGTGTCCGCAGAAGGATGGCCAGGAAGATGGAGGAAATTTTCCAGGCCAATAGAGCCGCTGGACTCAGCACGGACCCAGCTGCCTCATCCAGTGCTGCATACAAGGATCCAGTTTACAGTTCATCATGTCAGCGTCTGCGTCAGCTTGGTCAGTCTTGCAAGAGACGACACATGCCCCTTTCACTTAGACCTGCCATGCTCTTTGCCTTCGCCCCTCTCAGGTCCAGCTCACCAGTGGCTCCGGCAGGCCAAGTTGACACAGGCGGGGATCGCCTTACTGAGTGCTCGGCGTTGCAGACCTATGCACCTAGGTCCTGGAAGCCACCTAGGTGGGTTCCCTGCTTACAAACCTTTGCTGCTTCCTCCACTGGCTACTGCCTGCAACATTTGCGGATATCAGGCTCGTGTCTGCCGACATGTCGGATGCCCGACGGCAAGCCCGGATCCTCGCAGGTCCTCTTGTTACCCTGCTGGGGCTTTGAAAGGCCACTGAGCTCTTCCACATGTGCCTATCCAGGCCTTGAACGACCAGCGTGTACATCTACCACCATGCCGGCCGGGCTCACATGTACATGGACCTACGGTGCCTCCCCACACCGTGATGACTATCGATGTCCTGTGACTCGAGGTATGCCAGGTGCATTGGCAACAGGTCCTTCTCTGTTGCACGTTCACTCCACAATTGCTGTTCAATATAGTCACCACACCTGGCAGGGGTGGCCGGATGCTTTCCTGACTGACCAACCTGAACAATGTCTGGTGTGCCTTCGTCACACCAGACCATCTGCTGGTCCTGCTTCGGTACGATGCCCACCTCCACCACCAGGAGCTGGTTTACAACCCGACGGGCTCTCAGTTCTTGCGACCGTCACTCCCAGGAGGACGATAGCTTCATCTAGCTGTTCTTCCAGCCTGCCTCCAGGTATGTCTTCGCCACTGGGCGCAGGCCAGAGGGTCGAGCAGGCATCATCCTGGGACTCTTACTTGTCCAACTTGTGCAGGATATCCCGGGCACGTGGCTTGCCTATCGTCTGGCGGACCCATGCTGTGAGTGGCGTCGGCTTGAGTACCGTAGATGTACACCATATGCCACCCGTATGCAACAAACCAGCACCTCGCAGGCTAACAAGATCAGATCCCGCGAGCATGACTCTGAAGTGCAGTTGCTACACAAAGTTTCCCACACGGCACTGGACCTGCACACTATGGATTAGCTGTGTAGACAGTCTGCTGCACCGCACTCCGATGCCGATGCAAGCATTTTTGTCAACATGGACAACCAGCACTATAAGGTGCCCCTCTCACATTCTCAACACACCTGCTCTGAGCTACTCCGGTCCCAATTCCGGAGACCGACATTTTCGTACGGCTGACAACCTGTCATCTTTCAGACACCAGCTGGTTGTCCATCTAGCCTCCGAACAGTCGGTAGGGGCGAGGGTTGTGAGCGGCTGCCACCCGCTCACGAGACCGAAACTCACCTTCGTGGTGAGGGACGGGAAGCCGTGGCAGGAGCCCAATGAACTACACTCTGCTGTGAGGGCAGTCTTGCGGGACCCCCCACAAAACCACACTATTCGCCCTGACCCAGGAGTCACTCTAGGCACTGCTTGTTCCCCTAGCCTGACCTCCTCTCTGTTTTCAGCCATCTGTTCATCGTGGGCTGGTCCGAGAGACCAGACTGCAGGCCCCCGTGGCGTGCCAAATAGCATGGACAAGCTGCTGCCAGGATATGCTCCACCGCAGTCAAAGCCCCGGTATTTCTTCCTCTACAAACAGGGTCTTCCTATTCGTCTTGTTGCCATCTGGGCTCCAGCACTTCTACACCTTACCTCTCCTGGCCTTCCTCGTCTTAGGAGGCCTCCCTCTGGAGTACAACCACCAACACCTGCAACCCGACCTACCAACACCGCTGACAGGTGTCGCCCTCCGTCGAACACTGATCGACCTAGTCAGGCCCCTGGCACGTCGACGCACCCTAAGCTGTGCCCTCGTCCTATTCTGTTTCTCTCGACTCTGTTAGCCCTCCCAAGGTCGATCTGGGGAGTGCCCTCTGCACACCCCCTGCACTCTGCAGTAGCGGGTCACTCAGGAGAACCCAGGCCGGTTGCAGCCAACCCCACTGAGTACACATTTGCAAGGAAGCGATCTTACAAACGTGCCGTACGTCGTGCTGCACAGGACCAGGCCCAGCATACGGTTTATCGGGGCCGTGTCTGTACCCTGCAACAGCTTTGCAAAGGCTATCGGGGCCATCGACCCGCCCCCCAGGCTGAGCGTCGTATGCAGCAGGCCGCTCTGAAAGTCTCCCAGGGACGCTTGTTGTTTCTCTCCTGGAATGCTGGAGGATTGTCCCAGGCCCTGTGGCAGGAATTCTTATTAACACTTGAGAATATGCCGCCTGACGATCGTCCCCAGATCGTGTGTGTTCAAGAAACTCACTGGACGGATAAGGTGGCACCCCAATTCCCCACTGCTACGTGGGATGTGTACACCTCCCCGACCACTGATAACAAATCTGCTGGGCTCCTGATTCTCCTCAACAAGCAGACTACCCGTAACTGCAGAATTGTCTACGCCGACCCTCAACCGGGTAGGGTGCAACACCTGAGGATACTCCATGACCAATGGGCAGTCGACCTGCTGCACATCTATCAAAAGCCGCACAACTCTCATCCACTCGCCCTGCAATCTTCCAAAACCGTTCGCTTAGCTGTTTGGGAGTGCATTGGTAAGATCCTGGCGGCTCTACCTGCCCGCAACACGGTGATCATGCTTGGAGATTTTAATACTCAGATCAAGCCATGTGCTGCAGCTGGCACCAGGATTTGTTCAGGCAACAGCTCGGGAACACATCCACCTGATCAGGCACGGCTGCAGCATCTTGTCGAGGACTTCTCCCTCCTACATCTCAACTCATGGAGCAAGGCTGCTGGCCCCACGTACCATCACAACAAAGGTGCCAGCCTCATTGACCATATCATCATGCGTTCTTGCCAAGCGGATGACCGTGCTCGTCAGGCCAAACCACTCCGCCTGGGACTAGCTGCATGGAGACTTGGTGGCTACCATTTACCACTGAAGGCCAGTATCCCGCTTCAGCGCTTCCACACTCTCAACAAACTGGTGGCACCAAACAACATGGGACCATTGGGGCTTGATTCAGGTTTGCCGCTCTGCTTGGGATCCGCGAGTACAAAGTCTACGTACTGCCGTCCAGGCATCCCTACCTGGGGTCCATGATCTTGGGCAATTACATGCTACTCTGATTCACTGTGCATCCCAATTTTTCCCGCCGCCCACAGGTCAGCATCGGCTAGCACTATGGCAGACACCACCAATGCAGGATGGTATTCGATCCATGTGGCAGGCCTACCGAGCCTGGAAGACTGCCAAAGCTCAAGATCGGCACAATCCGCTTTATGTATCCAGGTGCTATCATCACTTCAAGACGGCACACAAGGCCTTTCGTCAAGCCGGGAAAGAAGCTAAGAAGCACTGGTTCCATGGCAGGCTCCAGGAATTACAGGCTGCCGCCTGTTCGGGTGACTCCCGCAAACTTTATGCTGGCATCCGCACCCTAGCTCCCAAATCCTCCAAGCCGAAGGTTCAACTGCGAGATTCTGGTGGTCATCTGCAGGACCCTAAGATCCAGCTACAACAGCTGGAAACGCACTATCGTAAATTATATGCTGCAGACGAGGATACCAGCATCCAGGGCCCCCAGCGGACACCCATTCACATCGAGGTCACGGAGGCCGAAATGACCCTGGCACTTTCGCAATTGTCACCCCACAAAGCTACACCTCCGAATCTAGCCACAAACTCTTTATGGAGGCTGACCTCGGACATTGTCGCGCCTCTCTTGTGCCAATGGTGCCGGCAATGGCCTCATATACCAGAGCTTTGGCGGAATGCATGGTTGACTCTCGTTCCTAAGATTCCGCGACCACTCTCACCAAAGAATCTTAGACCAATAGGGTTAACTGAATCCAGCGGCCGCGCATATGCTTCCATACTTCAGGCGAAACTGCGCCCCTATGCAGAGAGGTTCCTTGCGGATCAGGCACAATTTGCATATCTACCGGGTCGCAATGCTGCCCAAGCCATACATCGTGTTGCTGCTCACTGCAAGTATGTACAGGATCGCTGCTCGATCTCAACACCCACGGTTGTGGATCGTCACGCACAACAACCGAAACCCTGCCCACATTTTGCAGGTGCACAACTCTCACTGGACTTGTCCAGTGCTTTCGACCTCATGGACTGGCGCTTGCTGGACAAGGCATTACTTGCATCTGCAGTCCCGGCTGAGTTAAGACACCAAATCATGTCCTGGCACTCCGAGATTTCCTATGTCCTTACCCACCTTGGGCACACCGCCAAAGTGGAGGCCCAAAGAGGACTTAGACAAGGGTGTAAACTGGCTCCGTTGCTCTGGACACTTGCCCTGGCACAGATATATCGTGAGCTCCTTGCAGAGGGGGACTCGCTCCTCACAGCCCCTTGGCTAGAGCAAAGCTCCACGATTTATGCAGATGATATACATCTTAAAGATACCGTGCAGAACACTCGTGAGCTGGACGACATGGTGTATCGCTTTAGTAAGATCCTCGATGCTCTTGCTGCCCATGGTATGGTCATCAACTCGGCCAAATCAGCACTGTTGCTGAGACACAAGGGAAGTTTCATCAAAGGCTGGCTGCGACGACATCTCATACACAAACCCGAGGGAGACCTACTACGCTTTCGTAGCCCCCTGGGAAAGGTGTACGAAATTCCGTTGCGTGACCATCACACGTACTTAGGCATTCGCATCTCATATCATTCCCAGGCCAAACAAGCAGTCACCTATCGGCTACAGGCTGCGAACCAGGCCTGGCAAAGACTTCGTGGTGTACTGTGCTCTACCAGGCACCTTGCTCAGACACATCGTCTTAGTCTATGGAAATCCACAGTGCTTCCCACGCTGCTCTACGGCATCGCGGCATCCAACCCAGGTGCCAAGGATATCCAGCGTATGCAGCACATGATGACCAAGCAGGTCCGAGCCATCACCCGATCTTTTGCACATCTTCAGAAAGAATCCACACACGACCTCCTGCATAGATGCTCTCTGTTCACCATCTTGGAGCATCTCCAGAGGGAAGCCGCCGCCTTGCATCGCAGCCTGACTGGCCTGAGTACCCAAACGAGCTTCGTGACCCAAGCCCAGGTGGAAACAGCTCGAGACACAGCTGCTACGCTCCATCTACAGGTGCAACGCCAATGGCAGGTACCTCTCGGTGACAAAGAGGGCATCACTGACCCTGCAGTACACCAGTGCCAGGAATGTCATCGGGTCTTCACCTCCTTTCGGCTACTACGCTCTCACGAGGCTAAGTGGCATGGACTCAAGACACCTGCTGCTGTCCCAGTGCCTTTTGATAGGTATGCACATGGAACAGAAGGACTTCCAACGTGCAGACATTGTGCCCATCCCTTCCGACAATGGGACGGACTTGTCAAACACATCAAACGCAATCGGTGCCAGGTACTCCGTAGACTTGCCACAAAACCTCCCGCTGATGCCCAACCCTTGGCTCCGAGATCAAGTGAATCTGATCCTTTACCAGTCCTTGCATCGGTCACTCTGCCACCTCAGGCCTCCTCTCAGGAGACCCACATCCTACAAGAGGCTCAGGCTGCTACGCCTACTACTATTCCTGTCGTTATACCTGAACCCCCTGTCACAGATGCTCCACTGCAGGACAGCTCCACTACACCGAGCCATGAGGCTGTTCCCCTTCATCAGCAATCTCATGTTCTCGCAGCGCTACGTGCACGCAGGTGGACTGACCTCCTTGAGAAGCCGGAGATCCAATCGTATCTCCAGCACCACTGCCCGCTGTGTTACCAGTGGCTAGCCACTCCTACCAGCATCAAGTATCATCTCACCATGCAACATCCAGAGTGGAAAGACTGCCAACCTGCGACTCTCAAGCTCCATACTGGTTTCCGCCGACATACTGTAGTTCCATGTCGATACTGTCATCAGCGAAACATCAACAAAGATCGACATTGGAAACAGTGTCATGTCCTGCATATCTGTGCATTTCTAGCAGCGCATCATGACGCTCACCGCGGATCCCATGGAGCTGGACGAACAGGAGAGGCAATTTTGGGCCCAGGCTGGTCCGGTCAAGCGGGAACAGGAACCGAGAAGAGATATGCTGCAACAAGCCGAGCAATCCAAGAGGCAGCGTCTGGCACCGCAGGACCGGAACAAGGGCAAGGGCAAGGGTACCAAGGGCAAAGGCAAGGGAAAGCAGGGCCTACCAAGTCCACCAAGTGCACACCCGACCATGGGTTACACAAATGGTTTCGGAAGCCATCCACCCAATCCATGGACACAGACACAGGACCTGCAGCCACTGGGAAGTCAGGATCTAGAATGGATGGAGTACAGGATGAACCGACTATCTCAGCTGGTCCTTCGTCAGGAGCAAATCATCTCAGCCATCCGTCAGGATCTGGTCCTCTACCTCTTTGTACGATCAGGACCAGAAGGGATGGTGCCAGTTCTATGCGAAGCAGCGGAGAAGTGGAGGAAGATGAAAGAGGAAGAACCCGAGAAGATCACTTACTCCCTCAAACTCATGCTATTCAAGCAACTGCTCATCACCTTGCATCAGAGGTTGACCAACATGATCGCGGACGAGGATGCTCTCGCCAAAGCCAAGAACCTGAACTGGATCGACGATCAGAAACATTGGAAACATCTCACATGGAATCCTTCCAAACAATGTCTGGAAGTAGACAACTCAGTGAGGCCAATACCGGCGGAGGATCTGTTGGCCCAACTGGTTCAGATGAGGAAGGCTGTTACGGAGGAGACCCTGGTGAGGTTCAAGTCCATGCGGAAGCTCACCACGGAGGTGACCTCCGACTGGATCCAATTCCAGATCTGTTTGTCACTTCGCCCAGAGGGAGGAGCCATGTGGAGTACGCTGAACCAGTGGATCGGTCAAGCATCGTGGCACACACTGGGATGCAGGCTCCGTCGCGATCGACCGAACTACGACACCCTGGTCCAGGAAGTGTGGCAACATCAGATGCCATACTGAGTGTGCGCCCTAGTCTCAAGGCCGTTCTTCGATTGATCTTCCACAATCCATCGAATTTGTGCTACCTACACTCTACCATCTATGCCCTTCTGTGGACAATCCTTCAGGCTAGGCTACACGATGCCTACATCTCGCCTCCACCGCAGGCTCTTACCATGTTGTGTCCACCAATCACTGATTCGCCCAATTGTCCCATTCAGGTGCTCCATTCGGTACCGTGGCTTATGCTGCTGCAAGCTTGGCCTTCTGTACACCGTCAGCATGATGCAGCTGAGTTGATACAATACCTCTTACCCAGGTTTTCGCATAGTGGGTTCAATGGTGGCTGGGAGGCCAGAAACTTTGCACCTGGAGGTATTGCCACTCTTGATACGGGGCCTACCCAAGCTCCAATTACGATTGTGCTACCGGCAGGTCCAAGCTTGGAGCTTCAGGCAGCCATTGATGGGTGGAGTGCTCAGGTCACAGCCCGTTATGCACTGCTGACCCCGTCTCCCATGCTCTGCATACAACTTCAGCGCTTCACGAATGCCGAGGGAGTCATGCGCAGGGACACCAGACCACTGGCTATGGCCTCGACTACAGTTCGTATGCCACTCTTTGCAGGGCTGCACACTATGCAAGTTCGCTATGTTCACTACCAGGTCGTCGCTGTACAGCTTCACTACGGGGCCACTCCTGATATGGGGCATTACAGAACTATCCTACGAGGACAGCCGCTGTTTGGTGCAGAAAAATGGTGGATCACTGATGACTCCTGCACAGCAAAGTCAGTTGGCACAGAACATGATGGCAACATATATATAGTGTGGCTACGTCAGGTACTTCCTCCTGGTGCCTGACGCTGAGCAAGTGTAGTCTTAGTGGATGGATCTGGCACTGCCCTCCAGAACCCAACAGAGGTTCCGATACCCCGAATACCGGGTTATCGTCAGCTCGCTAGGCGAATCCGGACACTTCGCTGCGTGGTGAATGCTACTACTGCTGCTACTACGACTACTACTACTAGCACCACTGTTTACTGCAATTTGGCTTCACGGGATTATTTGGGGGTCTGTGATCCTGTGGGGGGCCTGCGACCTTGACAACCTTGAGGGGGGGGGGGGGGGGGGGGGGGGGGGTGGTTTATTAATCAGGGGTCAACATTACTGCTGCTGCTGCTCCTGCTCCTGGTACTGCTCCTGCTACTGCTACTTCCACTACCAGCTGCTGCTACTACTACTACTACTGCTACTACTACTCCTACTGCTACTACTGCTACAACTACGACGGCGACGGCGGCTGCGACGGAGACTACTACTACACTTCTACAACTACGACCATTAAGAAATAATGCGAAAATATTAGTATTTCTATTTTTCGAGCTTCTGTAAAACCAACAACCATCACTATCATCATCATCATCATCATCATCATCGTCAACAACAGAATCAGAACGACATAAGTTACTAACAATCATCGTGCTAATGATGATTACTGTTAGTGCCCTCGCCATTGCTAGTGCTGCCGCTCCTGCAACTGCAACTGCTACTGCTACAAGTACTGCTGCTGCTGCCGCTGCTACCTCCGCCACTACAGCTGCTACTTCTACTTCTTGTTACTGTATTTGACAGCAACAACAACTGCGGCCATTGCCAGCCCGACACCACGACAACTACAGTCGTTGCCTTGAGCATATTGCGGAAGACAAAAGCCCGAGGATCGACGGAGACTAAAGATCAAGAATAAACGATGCTCAGCCAATGCCCCAATGCAGAATCCTCCTGCACGCTTTAGCCTTAATCCTGCAATGATGCAGAATACAACTGCCACTTCACCACTGCTACTGCTACCACTACTACTACCACCACCACTGTTACTGCTACTACTGCTGCGACTACTGTTACTACTGCTGCTGCTGCTGCTCCTCCTGCTACGACTACGACAACAACTACTACTGCTGCTACTACCACTACTACTACTACTACTACTACTACTACTACTACTACTACTACTACTACTCCTAATACTACTACTCTACTACTACTATACTACTACTACTACTACTACTACTACTACTACTACTACTATTACTACTACTACTAGCACTGCGCCAGAGTTGGTGTCAAGATGAGACCACACGATCCCAAAATAGACTTATCAAATGTTTTGGTGGCAAGCCAAGAATCGCGCCAGAACAGCCAAGTTGAGCCAAAATCAAAGACCGCAAGCGGATCCGGCTCCGAAGTGCCTAAGTTGAGGTCGGAGATTCCGCAGGTCTGGCAGCATGATGCAGCATGAGGAAGCCTGCAATCTTTCGAGCTCCAAAAGCCAGCACCAGCATCGTCTAACACGAGAGCCAGCAACTTCCAAGTTCTTGGTTACGAGTTTTTCATGCACTGGAAGATGCTAGCATGAGAATCGTCGTGAATCTGTTCAGTGCACAGCTTCTAAACCTCACCCACATCAGCATTATGACAATCATGATGAGCATCATAATGATGACAGTCTCGTCAGGACTTCAGTGACCTCATTGAACGGGCGGACGTTGATTTAAACGAGAACTTGCTGGCCGTTTGCGAGCGGACCTATGCTCCTTGACACGGGCAAACCAAGACTCAATGGTTTCGGAGTTCGCTTGCATGTACAGTAAACACGTGGTGCGGAAGAAGCTGAAATCCAGCATCTGGATCTGGGAATCTTGGCATAGGCTGGCTGTGAGTCTTGGAAACACCAGAGAACAGGCCATGCTTGTGAGCATGCTTCAACTTCAGATGTGCGGCCACGAAGGGGCAGATTCGGAGGATGTATGTACGCCTTTATTCCTGGCAGTCTCTGGCACAGTGCTAAAGCCACCGTGGAACCTGACGGGCCAGAGTCTGCAAACTGCAAAGCTGCACTGCTCTGTGTGCAAGGTCGCCAATGTCTCCGTCGGCATTCACTTGCTGGACATCGCGCCGGAGCCTGCCAGCTCATTTGGGATCAGTAGCCTTATGTGCCTCATTGCTTTTCCTGGTGATCGAGCCAAGCAGCCACAGGTCAGCCTTGGAGTCGTTCACCCATCTTCTAGTGTCCACTGCCTCTTCGGGAGCCGAGCAGCCGCTCGGCCGGACCTCGCGCTTCGTTTGTGGCTTCCGGAGAGTTTGTGCGGCGCTGTTGCTGCCACCGCTACTGCTCCCAGAAGCTGGACCATTGTCAGGTCTACGCCCATGTCGACCCCCATTCTGGACATCAATAGTAGCATTTCCAATTTGCTCTTCGTCGACCAGGCCAGGTCCAGGGATTCGAGCTTCGAGCTTCTGAATCGAGGCACAGCCGATGGCAGGTAGTTGGCTTGTATCAAATCTGCAGCTGGTTTCACCCATGCGAAGCAGGACTTGGACGAGGATGAGCTTGGTGGCGACATTCTCTGGCTTGCGCCGACAGATGTCAGGACCTTATAATTAAATTATAAGAACCCACCAGCAAGCTTCTGAGTCTAATCGTGAGAAGGAAGAAGCCTTGTCCGTTCGTGCCCGCTCGAGGTGGATATCTCAATGACAACGATATTCGCCCTGCCCTGCTCCTGCCCCTCCCCCTCTCCTCATCTACAAACGGTCCTGGTCCCGGACCCTGAAGAGTGGGCAAGGTTAAGAGTAGTCAGTTTTCGACATGCTGAGCCTGATGGTCACCTCTTGAGCGGGGGTGTTTGTGAAGTGTAGCGCTTTGTACTTCCCGAACACTTGCGTGTTCATCGTCTGACATCCTGCAGGTCAGTCGGTCGAGAGATTGAGGCCTTTCGGAACACGAGACAGTCTGATTGCCTTACGGGACGGGAGCAGTACGGTCGCTTCGGTCGCGATCCCAGTAGACTTTCCGGCGGCTGCAAAACCCAAAACCCCAGCCGAACCAAGCAGAAGATGTCAATGAAGCGTGATGGCCTATAGAGCCTATAGACCAGAGGGGGAGCGATGACATGAGCGCGAGCGTTCCCAAAGCTCTGAGCGAAGACTGGGGTGCAGTGATGTGGACTTGCAGAGCGGCGAAGGGAAGGAAGACCAAACAGCTGCACATGCGGAACCCTTTTGTTCTTTCTTTCATCCGGATCTTGCACCTTTGCAGGAGGGTGCTGGGCTACCGGGTCTACCTGAGCACAGGGCTGCGGGCGGGGCAGCCGAGGTCCCTCATAGGCTCCTTGCCAGATGATTGGATTGAACTCAGAGGGTCGAATGTTTGTGGTATGGGGTCGTTGTTTGTCCCCGTGCAGGTTCAGAGATAGCGGTGGGCACCACGCAGACCTTCCTCCCTGCCGAAAGCTCCATGCAAGCATGGACGCACATTGCAGTCCTGCCCTGAGCTGTGCAGGGCGTTCTTGGCCGAGTGCCAGAGCATCTTCAACTCTCAATGCTTGCATTTGACCGTCGCTTCTGCCTTTTCGCTTTAGGTTTTCACCCGCTCGCAGCTCGTGGAGCAGACGACACCGGCAGGTCTTTCATGCATGAGTCCTGCTTACACATGACAGGGCTTAGGGATCGATCTGCAGGAGTAGCTGGGATTATATGCATCAGGTCCGCTTCTGTGTATTCTACCCAAACTGCAGCCAGGTGCCAGCATCTCTGACACGTCGTCAGTTTCGACCATCGACTTTCGTGACGATGCCACTTGCATGGAACAAAGGTGTCGATTCCTTCAGTCAATGAGCCGTAGCAGAGGAATTGCAACATAAACCAAGCGAGCAGACACAAACACACACACACACACACACACACACACACACACACACACACACACACACACACACACACACACACACACACACACACACACACACACACACACACACACACACACACACACACACACACACACACACACACACACACACACACACACACACACACACACACACACACACACACACACACACACACACACACACACACACACACACACACACCCTCACGCACGCACGCACGCACGCACGCACGCACGCACGCACGCACGCACGCACGCACGCACGCACGCCCGCACGCACGCACGCACGCACGCACGCACGCACGCACGCACGCACGCACGCACGCACGCACGCACGCACGCACGCACGCACGCACGCACACACGCGCACACACACACACACACACAGAGAGAGACACACACACACACACAGAGACACACAGAGACAAACACACAAGCGCATGCGTGCTCACACACATACAAACACTCAGTTCACACGCGCAAAATTGCGAAAGTTCGTCGTCGAGTTTGGTAAGCATATTCCCCGGAATGCCAACTGGCACCTCTTACCTCAGCACCAGTGGTGCAACATGCACTAGAATACTATAAGCCAGGGCGGAACTCTGACGCAGACTCCTAGCACAGCACGCTGCGCAAGACGAGGAACTACGGAATATGTGCCAAGTTTAAAGCGCCACAAGCCCAACGGAGCGACGCATCCTGCATTCAGCCCACGGCAGTACTGAGAATTCAAGGATCTTGATGAATTCGAAGTTGGCGGCGTGCTGTTCTGGAAGAACGGCAGCGACTTCACCGAGGCCACCCACTACGAGGCGAGGCCAGCAACACAACTCCGGAACCGCAAACCAAGCCTGCGACCGGGCCCCCGTGGCTTGTTTCTGGGTTTCACACCCTTGTGTCAGCTGATGGGTCACGCAGAAGATTTTTGGGGATCCAGACAGTTGTCCATGGCTCCGACACTCCGTGCTGCTACCGTAGTCGTAGCTGCTACGAAGATTGCTTGGCCAAGGAAGAACTTCCACTGTGAGCTCTAATCAAGCTTGAAAACCCAAGCCCCCTTGCGTAGAGGGGCCTATGTTTGAGGGCAAGGGAGTCCCGAGCCCCTGAATGAAGTCCCCAGCTGAGGTCTATCTCGCCGAAGACCGCAATGGCCTCCGCCCCAGCTCAGCGCGCTGAGAGGCTTAGCCTTGCCCTTTGAAGCTTTCGGCAATCTCTTCGAAGCTATACTCTAGATACACAGTATACAGTAGAAATAGAAAGCCTATGCCGGCACACTCACACTCTGATCAGTTCCCAGTGTTGTAGCTGCTTGCGGGATTGACTGTGGCTGCGTCTGTTTTCTACTACAGCTTGCTGAACATTCTTTGAACACATGGCTATAGTAGATACTCTGGTTGCGCACCGAGGCACGAACCGCTCTTACCTGGGCAATATTTCGTATGACGCCAACAGTTTCGCTGCTGGGCACATCATGAGCACGTGTAGCGTTTCTCGCTCTCAGCAACCTGATTAATTTGGAATCTGGGCATCAAGCGCTGAAGGGGGGCTGGACAAAGAGCTCGAAAGAGCAGAAGCCCTTTGGTAGACCTTGTCGGCGACGCTTTCAGGACGTTCCCGCAGACACGGCTCTGCAGTCGTTCAGCCGCTTGGTCACAATTTTTTGTGTAAGTGCATTTCAGGCTGCCAGCCTGGCTCTTGTGCGGAATCCACCCGAAGTCGCCCAAGGTCACCTGGTTGTATACGCCCGCTCGGAGCTGGTGGAGCAAACCACGCCGGCAGCTGCGCGGCGCAGCTCGGAGCACGAACGGCTTTGAGGGTTCAGGGTTGATGAGAATCCGTGCAAACCCTTCAGCATTGGCTCCCAAGCCGACTGATGGTTCATCGGTGGCGGATGCTCAGCTTCCATCTCCAGGTATCGTCGACACTGTTGCGAGTGTCTCAGCGGTGAGCTTCGTCGACCTGGACCTGGATGAAGATGAACTTGGAGGTGTTTACACTGTTGTGGCTAGCTTTCACACCGATACCCTAAAGTACCCCCAAGATGCAGCGAACAGTCAGGGTCATCGTGGTCACAGCATCCTGGATTACTATCATTAGCCATCACACCGCCATCATCCTCATCACCGCTGTCATCGCAGCCAGCGTGACTGTCAGCAGTACATCAATTGGATCATCATGATCGTCATTTTGGGGCGCAGCTTTGGATTCAGCGATGAGGGCCTTGAGTAGTCTTACTTGATTCATGTTCACACATGCTTCTTGTGGCGACTTCTCATCTCCATTGAGCACAATTGTCGAACAAGATGCATGCAGGTCATCTGCTGTGGCAAGAGCCGTCATCCACCGAGCGAGTCGAGACGCTCGATTGACACGTATTGAATGCATGTTTTGCCCAAAGCAGCTGCAAGAGTGTTTTGCCGAGGGTTTCGCCATTTACCGGCATCAGCTCTGCAAAGCAAGATGCGCTATGACAATACAGCTTGTAAAAAGGAGTGCTTGCATTCTTCCTGTCGTTGTGTCGGATCTGAGCCCTCAGTCTGTGTGATGAACTTGATTTCACAAAGAAGCTGCGGAGCATTTGTCGCGATAAGCACATCTAGTGTGAGGGGACAGAAGCCTGTTCGCGCGAAAAATTGAAATGGGCTCCACTGAGGTTTTACGTGGTGTACCTTGCGCTGGACTCGGTCGGCACTGGCCGCTCCCTAGCTGCTGGCGACTTGGCGTGGATCTAGCAGAATCTAGCAACAGGGCAACAGAGCACACTGTTAATGACAGTGCTCATCACTATGATGGTGGCCAACATGAGCATCCATGCCAAAGGCTTTAAAGAGCGATAGCACGCAAGAGCACCACAGCTGCAGCAAGACGGCATGGCAGAAGCAACAATCAGCCAGCTCTGACTCCGTCAGCACGGCTCGTCGATCAGAGTAACAGGGTTTGATTACGAGCAAGATTACGGTTACCATCTTCATCAGGATCAGCATCACGCCCGCAACAACCTGCGGGCCATATCATCGTTGATGTTTATTAGTGCAACATACCATGGGGAGTCGAACGATACACACAGGCAGTACGCGCAGCGACTGCTTTCGTGATCTTGTGGCATCCCCTCGAGCCCTCGACTGTTCGGAGGGTCTCAGTCCGAGGTGGAGAGGTGTTGGTCGGTACGCAGCGGACCACGTTGCCGGCGGACCGCGGGCAGCAAGCGTTGAAATTTTTCGCTACAGCGATCAGGATAACATTTGGTGAAGCAAATCTGTATTGACTCCTCGCGCTTATGCAGCTTCAGAGGACCCGTTTGGAACAGCAAGTCGTCCAACCTTCCAATAGGGGGAATGCAGGGCTCACGATGTACCTAGCTCCCTGAGCGATGAATATTGCAAGGCTCGGCGTTGTCCTTTCTGCCGCTCAGGACACCAGCATCTCCAGCTTCAACCACTTCCTGGTGGCTCATGCTGCACTTCAAAAGTCCTAGCAGAAACACCACCTTCGACCACCTCAGACTTTATCTCAAGACAAATCCAAAGGGTAGCCTCCACCCCCGAAGCTTGATCCTATACAACTGGGCTGCGGTCTCCTAAGGTGTACACGAAGTCGACCTTGGCAGAGCAAAGCACCCCCGTGGGTGTGGCACTTTACGATTCCACGGCCTTTGTGGGGAACCTGTCCTTCCCGGACAAGGCCGAGATGGGCATTGCTACAAACTGAGTTTTGTTGATGAGGCAGAGCGCATTTGAGCTTTTAGGGTTCTGGATGTCAGGGTGTCGAGCGGCGGTGACAGCCCGTTGAGCATGAGACAGCCTCGAAACTTGAGCCAGTTTCTTGAGTCAAAACGGTCAGGAGCGGGTGTCCAAACGATCGGAGTCTGAACCCTCACTGAATTCGCTTGTGGGAGGACTTGGATGTGACGGAACTGGGAGGAAACATCACTTGGATCCCTCCTGCCGATGACCGGCTGGTGACCTTCGGAATGAAGCCAGTTCATGAACGGACTTGTGTTCTTACCGCTCTGGGTCTTTCGAAAGGTGGAAGGTGTTTTTGGGTCCTATGGTCACGGAGTGGCATCGAAGTTTGTGCGGGTACTTTGGCTCAGTGGTTGTAGCTTGGAACACCTGTCCTGCCCTACACAGCATGCAGATCCTTCCGTCCAAATCGTCCAGCAGGAACTCTGCCTAGACCACGCCTGAAAGAAGAGCACAGTATCGCAGAAGAGGTGTTCTCTCACAGCACTCCGAACCGTCGCACTTTAGGTCTCGTCATGAACTAAGGCTGGGCTATAACATCTTCTTCGCCGATGATGCAGCGTGCCAGGACTCGGACACTCTCAGAGAACTGTCCGGGCCAAAGGGAGTTCGGGAGCTCGGGCTCTTTCTTATCCCCGGTCTTCTCCTGACCCCCTTCACATTCAGGGTTTTGGCGTATGCACCTTGATGTCGAATGTGATGAATGATAAAGTTTTAGAGTTTAGTACTTAACCTAAAATCATTTCATTTCTTTTGCAGAGTAGCTGTGCGGGAAAAAACTCTTGTCCGTTAGTAGCCGTTGTCAAAACTCGTATACTTCCTCCGCCTGCACTGATCGAGCAGCTGCAGTGTTGAGATTTTCTCGCGGTGGTTCAGAGATGGCGAAATTCTGATGGAGAGGACATGGCATGCCAGAAGCTGTTGGTCGACAGTGTCGCGGCAAACGAGAGCCTGGTCATCGTTCCTCCGGACACCCAGATTCTGAACTTCACCCACGTATTGATCTACGTCTCTTAGAGTGAATTGTAGAACCAAGCAAATTTCCACTCGGACAGTCGGAATACTTTTGCCCAAGCTCGTTGAGGCAACATCCGGGTTCTCGGAGCAGACGACTCCCGCAAGCCAGCAGATTCTGGATGCCAACGCGTCTGTGTCGAGCATCCGCTTTGTGGACAAAGACCTCGAGTCCGAGGATCAACCAGGGTCTCATAGGGTCTCTAAAGACACTGACTTAGAGGACGCTTAGAGGTATCCCATCCCAGAGAGTCAGGAGCTTGGCGGCGATGTGTCCTGGACGGCCCCGGAAGGTGCGTTCGGGTGGGGCCCGAGAGATCTGAAGCCTTGCACAGGCTCTTCTCGTAGCAGCAGTTGTATCATCGGTAAGTTAGGTCAGAACCCCCGGACCGAAGCAAATGCTTGGCATTTGGAGACGTGGGCTCAGGCTTCCTGGAGAGGGTGGACGCCTACGTGCTGTACCTGAGTGCCCTGGGTTGTAGCGATGATACAACCTCTGCATTATTGATAAGTGTCCCTGTCGCGAAACTCTCGCTTATGCAAACGCTTGGCCTGCATACTCTGATGGGCCAGGGTCATCGGTCATAGTGTCATCCTGACAACGCTTTGCCGCATGAGGTTGTTTGTTTGATTCTGAGGTGCCACTGCCGGCGGTGATCAGCGCCTAAGCCTTGGCACGGAGGTGGCAGTGGGAACAGACGTCAGGACAGAGTGTTCGGGACCGGGTTGCGGATCGAGAGGCTGCCGATGTCATGATGTCGGAAAGAAGATTCAGCTTGACGGGTTGAGCGCGAAAGAGCATTGTCGTGTTCATTGTTGCTCGCTGATATGACACTGTCGAGGTAGATATGTTTGCTTTACTTAAACTGTGTTTGCCCGCGGCGCTTATGACTTCTGCTGTTTTCGTTGTGCAGTCTTACTGATATTGCCAGCTTTGCTCAACGCTGTTTCACCCTGTGTCTTTCGCTCTTTGCTTGTTGTTGTTGTCGTTGTTGCTGTTGCTGTTGCTGTTGCTGTTGCTGTTGCTGCTGCTGCTGCTGCTGCTGTTGTTGTTGTTGTTGGTGTTGGTGGTGGTGGTGTTGGTGTTGGTGTTGGTGTTGGTGTTGGTGGTGGTGTTGGTGTTGGTGTTGTTGTTGCTGCTGCTGTTGTTGTTGTTGTTGTTGTTGTTGTTGTTGTTGTTGTTGTTGTTGTTGTTGTTGTTGTTGTTGTTGTTCTTGTTGTTGTTCTTGTTCTTGTTCTTGGTAATGTTCGCTTATTGTGCTTCTTGTTATTTTTGTTATTCTTGTTATTGTTGGTATTGTTGTTGTTGGTGGCGGTGTTGTTGTTGTTGTTGCTGCCCGTTTCTTTCTGTTTCTTGTGGTCGCTGCTTGCCATTTGACTCTCCTTTCTGTGTTCGCTTGTTCCTTCCGCTTCGTGGTGACATATAAACTGCGTGCTTCGTCTCGCTGTAAAATATTGCTTTCGGGCATAATCAGTCAGATTGTCTTTTGTTTAGTCATCCTCTCCCTAAGCCAGGCCGAGCCAGCTTAATCTTAAGCCGCTGCCGCCCTCGCTGAAATTACAAATCAGCAGGATGCATGCTGCTGTTTTCCTGATTTTTCCGTGAAGCGACCCTGCGAGTAGTGGCACACCGGTACCTCTACAGTAATAATGGGGATACCTTGTGAGATAGTAATGACGAGAACGATAAGAATGGTTAGAACGGTTCGAACCGTAAACCCGCGTTGAGGACAAGCCGGGCCAGACGAAGCCAAGCTATGTTTGTGATTTGTTTACAAGCGCTACTCCGTTGTTTCAATAACAGGAAGGATGCAAGTCCTTCACTGGAAATATACCTGGCCTGGGCTCCCAAATCAAGCCTTCCGGACAATGGTAGCACTGCTCCACAGGCTTCAAACAGAAAACGTCCACAGCGTTTCATTTGAAGCCTTCAGTGAAGACATGCAGCTGTGCCTCTTATAGTGCTTTTCCTGTACTTAGTGATGTCAATCTTTCAGAGGCAGGGATCGTTACTGCAGAGGCAATGTCGTCAGTTCTTCAGCGGCGGGGAGACTTGGGGGTAGGGGGTGAAGGTAGTGGCAGCAGTAGAAACAACTCGTAATGCCTTTCAGGTGGAAAAGCGCAGTCGCATATTTTGGAAACTAAGAGTCAAAACAGCAGAGCCTGTCAACCAGAGACAAGCTACGTCAATCCAAACAAATGGATGTTTCCTACTACTATGTCTCCTACTCCTACATTTTTGCCAATCACAGCCTGTAGCTCCAAGACGACGACTACTGGCAGTACCAGTGCCAGAACCATTGACGCCGCACTGCTACCACTACCACTACTACTACTACTACTACTACTACTACTACTACTACTACTACTACTACTACTACTACTACTACTGCTACTGCTACTGCTACTGCTACTGCTACTGCTACTGCTACTGCTACTGCTACTGCTGCTGCTACTGCTACTACTGCTACTACTGCTACTACTGCCACTACTGCTACTACTGCTACTACTGCTACTACTGCTACTGCTACTACTACTAGCCACCCCCCCCGCTGCCCAGTACCTCGTGTTACAGACGCTTGTAACACACATCCGTTGTACTCGGTATTTACAGCACTTTCGGCATGTAGCAACATCTTATGAAGCCTCAAAACTCACCTCCAAGTTTTGAAACTTCGGGAGCGTTTTCTGGACTTTATTTGGGGGGGTGGGAGGGTGCGGGAAGAATGATGACGACATTGTTACGCCGACACCCGGGACATCATCTCCGGAAGAGCCATTTTACTCGGTATTTACAGTGTTTTCGTGACGTCAGCCCTCTTTCTAGTCGCCAAGCCTACCTCTGGACTTTGCTACGTTGTCTTTTGCCTTTGCGAGGGCTTTCAGCGAAAAACTCGAAATTGGGTGGGGGAAAGCTTCTTTTGCTCGGTCTTTAAAGTACTATGCTCATGTCACACTCCATTACTAACAACGAGTTTTCTAACTCCGGCATCCGATTCTGGACTTGATTTTGGCGGGGGGGGTGCTGGAAGAATGATGACGACATTGTTACGCCGACACCCCGAACAACATCTCCGAAAAAAGCAATTTTACTCGGTATTTACAGTACTTTCGTGACGTCAGCCCTCTTTCTAGTCGCCAAGCCTACCTCTGGACTTTGCTACGTTGTCTTTTGCCTTTGCCAGGGCTTTCAGCGAAAACTCGAAAATGGGTGGTCATAACTGTTCGAGGCTGCCTGTACGTTATCACCCCTCCCCCCCACCAAAGCAATGCATGCAAAAGGGGTGGGGGGGGGGGGGGGGCTACTACTACTACTACTACTACTACTACTACTACTACTACTACTGCTACTTCTGTCTACGCTACTACTGTCTACTGCTACTACTACTACTACTACTACTACCACCTACTACTACTACTACCACTACTACTACTACTACTACTACTACTACTACTACTCCAAGGACACACGCTCGTAGGAGGACTTGTGTTTGTGATGTGTTTCAGTTTCAAACAGAACGCAATCTTCAGGTTCGAGCACCTTTACGGCATATTCGGCTGCCATGCAAGGTTGAACGTTCAAAAAACGGTGCTTTTAGGCTCACGAAGTGCCGAAAGTACTGTCAGGGCCAACAAAAACGTGCATGAGGCAGCCGCGGGTGTCGGAAATCACGAAGTAGCTTTTGAAGGTTTGGTATGTTTCTTTTGCTGCGGGTGTTTTACGCCAAAGGAAAGCACTATGTCTTAGTGGCTGTAAAACAAACTTTTCAACTTTTGCCGGGAATGGGTTGTATGATGCCTAGGATAGCAATAAGAGAGGGTTGCTGGGGGGGTTAGAGAGGTAAAGAAGGGGATGGGAAACTAGTAGAGGTGATTCTCAAGGTCTTGTTTTGGGTTTTTAAATGGGGTTGTATGGGTTTGAAATAGGCCGCATAGCTGTAGTGCTCGAACGTAGTCTGACGACGTCACAACAAGCCTTGAACTTTACCCCTCCTCCCTAAACCCAAAATGTATATCCTTACACCTTCAGACACCTAAACCCTGGAAAGCTGAAGCCCATCACCCTCAACCATGGCACCACCTTAAACCCTATCGTCCCAGATCCCTACTAACTACAGACTCCCATCACCAGTGCCATAGGCCTTCAAGCTTCGTAGTCCACCCACCCTAAAGCCTAAAACCGTAACCTCGACCCTAATAATTTGAACCCAATGACACTAGACCCGAGAGGCTAACAGCTGAATGCCACCACACTAATCCCCAACACCCTAAAACCCTAAACCCTAAAACCCTAAACCCTAAACCCAAACCCTTAAATCCTGCCCGCGACTTCATCGTCTTCTTCAACGACATGGGCCGGCCGCTGCCTGAGGGTTTTTTAGTTTTAGGTAGGACCCTAAGACCCGGTTGGTTTCCCTCCCTAACCCCGCATGACTTGTGCTTGAGTTGTTGGCAGCTCAGTCAGGCGGTGCCGGTTCTTCGTGAGCCGGGCACCAGCCGATTGAGCTGCAGGGGGTCTTCGGTGCCGGTTCTTCGTGAGCCAGGCTCCGTTGCCCCCCTCAGTCTGGCGGTGCCGGTTCTTCGGGGCACCAGCCGACTGCGCTGCGAGCCTTTGGTGCCGGCTCTTCGTGAGCCTGGCTCCATTGCGCTCCCGGTCAGGCGGGTGCCGGCTCTTCGTGAGCCAGGCTCCCATGCCGCCCTTCGGTCAGGCTTGGTGCCGGTTCTCCGTGAGCCGGGCTCCGATGCCGACCGAAAGCTCTGAGGCCTCGCCTGAGCTTTGGAGTTTTGGTCAGGCACGGTGCCGGTTCTTCGTGAGCCGGGCTCCGATGCCGATCAAAATCTTCACAGCCGGCATGATTGGCCCGAGCGTTTCGGTCAGCTCGGCCGATGCCTGGACTGGCCCATTGTGGTGTGCCGTCCGGCTGGGTTTTTTTCAGGGTGAGGCCCCAGAAACCCCCCCATTCGGATTTGGGATTGTGACCCCAGATTCACCCCCCTAAGTTTCAGGGTGTTGCGGTATTGATTCGGGTTCGGGGTGGCCTTCGAGCCTTTGGGGTTTGGTTTGGGCCTGGGGTCTAGGAGGGTGGTTTAACTTGGTGCGTCTGAGGCCTGACCATCACCGCCTGACCGTCGTGGCGCCTGGCCAGGCAGGTTTCGCAGTGAAGTCCGTTTCCAGCTTAAATTTGAAAACTGTATGGCCATTTCACTCAGGTCTGACCATTCGTAAAACTGATGATGCCCGGCACCCGTTACTTCGCATGTTCTTTCTGACTGTTGTGTCACTGGCTTAGGTCTGACTTGGACAATGCTGGCTGACGAGGGGTGCCTGGTTCCTGGCACGGTACCGCACCACAGCATTGCATCCTGATTGACTGTCTCGTTGTGTGTCTGAGGCCTGACCTTGGCTGATGTTGCGAGGTGCCCGGGGGCTTCGCCTGGGTCTGCCTCACAGTGTCGCTGGACTGAGGCCTGGCGTTGGGCATCTGATGACGAGGTGAGGTGCCCAGATTCTGATTCGCAAGCCCTTAGACTTTGCACTGTTGTTTTAAGGCCTGATCTCAGCCCTTGGGTTCGTCGGTTGATGATGCCAGGTGCCCGTTTCTGCTTCACATTGCAACATGTCATGGTGTTCCCTAGCCCGGTCTAAAATACGAGGAAGCACCATGAGACCCGCTCTAAGGCAACATCCAGGTTTCATGATGCGA